TTTTTTAAACACTTGAATGTGGATACGTTTCAAAAATAAAGAAATAAACAACATTTTGAACAAAAAGCTGAAAAAAGACTATGAATTGGATTCAGAATGATAATCAAAACGTAGATGAAGATCAACACCCAAAGCTTGACAGTCCTTATTACCTCTTCATTAATAATGTTACACAGTTTTGATGCTGTTTTATGTCTGATGATCGTGTTTGATTACATGTGGAAGCATCTGTTGTTTCGGTTTCTTCTTCACTTGTGTTTTTTGGAAAGTCTGTACAGAAGATGTGTACTAGCGCCCCCTAGAGTATAACAATGAAAACACGGATTCTAGGAACACAAGTATAGCTCAAATATATTTCGACTTTTTCTAAGTTTAAGTCAAGTATACTTAAATGTCATTTTAAGTATATTTCTGAGAAGTAGACTGAAAGTATACTTTCCTATTTTTAGTTTAAAAGAAGTATACTAATAGCACACTTGAATAAACTTATTTTTCGTAAGGGATGGCTTTCTTTATTTGTGGTAACTATGAACTTTCCTTGGATGGAAGAGCTACATAAACCCTTGGCTATTTTTTGGATTTATTCTGCATACTGTAGATTGTCATATTAGTTCTGGGGACAGTTCTAATAATTACCCTCATATGCCTGGTGTACATAAGTGAAGAGTTGTTCAGCCTGCCTCTTTAGCTCGGGGTCTCTGTGCTTGTCAGGGTGGTACAGCATACAAAGACGCCTGTACGATGACTTCAACTCGTCTTGAGTAGCCTGTGGACCATAAGATCGATAAATAGTGGAGGGCACACATAAAGATTGATGGATGGATATCATATTATCAAGCAGAGTCAACATAATTTGAATATTTAAATTAATTGGTTCAGCCGCACCTTGATAACAGGCTTCCGATTGGCTGTCCTGCTCAGGAAAGACTGCGCGTTGGCGCGCTTTTCCATTTAAACTCAAACGCCAACATTTCCGTTACATCCTCAGAGTTTGAGGCTCATTGGAAATACCGGTCGAGCAGAATTTTTTATTGAGGTTGGTAGGTGTAATTTAATAAATTATACATTAAACGGTTTTATTTAGCCTGTTTAGTGGGTTAATAGTAAGTACTGCTTTTTAATATTCATATTAAGTGAATTGGGTTCTGAGATCAGCTCCAGTCATGCGCATTTTACGTACGTACATGCAAAATATTCATAAACGTATGATAAAAAAGCAATTTGACAGTTGACAAATACTGCTCGAAAGCTGTCCAAGCATGAAACGTCAGATCAACGAGTACGTAAGTATGCCATGACAGCTGTATGAATCTCTCTTACAGTATCACCTAATAAGAGAAATTGTTCGGCTGTCTTCATTTCGTGCAGAGCTCGACAATGCAGATGGATTATGCTCCTCTTAGAAACATATCCACTTTCTTACCTCTCTCCTGACATTGAGCAGAGAATAATAATCTTCGTTATCTAATCCCAATTCATTTTCCAAGGCAGCCGCCATATTCACAATGTCCCAAATCCCATCCCATCGATTCCTACTACGGCGAAGGCCTTGCTCATGAATATTAATTAGGCAACGTGACGTTCGGCCAGTACGCCAATCTGATTTGTCAAAAGACTGCTATTGGAATATTAAATACCCTTCGTCAGCAAGCGCTTCAAGAACTCGGCGAGTTGACGTCAGCACGATGAAAAGAAAATGAATGAGCTCTGTCTTCGCCATAGTAAACCCACCGATGAGGCTCAGGATTCATATGTTGTCCTGCCACCGTGTGTTCTGGAGAGAGTTATTTAAAATGTAAATGTACCCGCTATTATACAGATTCCTGGATGAAAATAAGTAAACCAATCACTTAACGTTTAATATATTATTATTATTATTACTACTACTACTACTAATAATAATGTATTTTAATAATACATTTGCTCATTTGTATCCAATAAGTATTAATCCAACAGCCTTATTCTTCCTTAAACAAAATGTTAGAGTTACATTTATATGTTAATTTTTAAGGCGAGTTTTAGAGGAAATGTGAACCTTGGGTCACCTTTTTCTTAAGTTTTTCACCGTTGTTAACCACATTTTGGCTTGATTTTAAATGACTGGCATGTGACTTTTTTAATCTCTGTAGTCTCTCAATATTGTTATAATAATGCATGCATAATAATCAGAGGCGGACAAAGTACTCAACTCCATTACTTGAGTGAAAGTACAGATACTGCTGGTCAAATATTACTCCATTACAAGTAAAAGTTGTAAAGACAGATTTTTACTTAAGTAAAAGTACAGAAGTACTTACTTTTAAAAGTACTTAAGTACCAAAAGTAAATTTCCTTTTTTATGTCAATACACTGTTTTATTGTTGTACGTAGTACTTGCAATACTTCTGAAGCAACTTAGAATACATTACACCTGCTGAATACAGTACAGTGAAATCCTGTAAATACAGAGTGATGAGGAGGGGAAAAAAATCAAACCTGCTTTTAAACCCAGCAGCACAACTGTAGCTGTAACTTTACAACAGCAGCACTGCTTTAACAAAAAAGCAAAACAGCAAGACTTATTTGAATGTTCTGCAGTGCTGCTTCAAGTCCAACACCTATTGTGTTTTATTAGGAGACGCACAACAGTTCTTCTGTGGCTTTATAGGTAATATTTTCACTTACACAATTTAGCTAAATCAGACAATATTGTGTCTAATATATACCACAATATTAACTTCTTATTACTGAATTTGTTGTCAATAAATACCACATTTGGAACTGGTCAGTGTTCAAAAAAATGCTAGGAAGTCATTTCATGTAGCCCCACAAGAGTGATTACTGAAACTGTCTGAAAAAAAAAAGTCATGTTTTAGAGAAGAAAAAAAATCAGCCACTGACTTTCAAAGCTGCTACATAGTAACGACTTTCTACTTCGAGGACCTTGATAGAAATGTAGTGGAGTGAAAAGTACAATATTTGTCTTTCAAATGAAGTTAAAGTCATACGTTTCCAGAAAAAATAATACTCAAGTAAAGTACCGATACTCAAAAAGTGTACTTAAGTGCAATACTCAAGTACTCAAGTCCGCCTCTGATAATAATAGTGTTTTTTTCTTCTTATTTTATGATTCTGTTGTTCAAATAACATTCGCAGTGTAACTTCATGTTGTGTTGTTGTGCGTGATTTGACTTTATTTGGGAAAACGGCAGACCGACTCTTATAATGCTGTTTGTGGTCGATGAGTGGAGCTGTTCTTTCAGCACCATCTCCTTCAGCACCCGCGAGTGGACAGCGCTCAAGAACGAGTCTGGAGCCTCCACGCACGACCTGAAACATCTTTTCCAGATGTTTTATTTTATTTCTTTTATTATTATTATTCTGTTGTGTCTCTGCTGTCTTGCGACACTAACCTTTCAGAGGAAACCCGTCAGTGTTTTTTTCTCCTTATTTTATGATTCTGTTGTTCAAATAACATTCGCAGTGTAACTTCATGTTGTGTTGTTGTGCGTGATTTGACTTTATTTGGGAAAACGGCAGACCGACTCTTATAATGCTGTTTGTGGTCGATGAGTGGAGCTGTTCTTTCAGCACCATCTCCTTCAGCACCCGCGAGTGGACAGCGCTCAAGAACGAGTCTGGAGCCTCCACGCACGACCTGAAACATCTTTTCCAGATGTTTTATTTTATTTCTTTTATTATTATTATTCTGTTGTGTCTCTGCTGTCTTGCGACACTAACCTTTCAGAGGAAACCCGTCATCGTCTCTATGCTTAAATCCATGCCATTATGGTTTCACAATCATCTTCAGCACGAGTGGCAGATTAACGACTCTAACATGACTGTTAGCATATAATTATATGACACAGTGGGGTCTGTTATTAGTACTTAGACTGCTGGACACGTATCTCGATTAGCAGTGTTATAAAATAGTTTTTTACTGTCACGGCGCTCGGTGGGCAGAACGGATATGGGTGTCTGCCAAGCATGAATTCATAAATGTTCGTCGTGTAGACTTAAATATAATCCGCAGATTCTGCTTTTCATATATGTATATTACAGTCCTTAGGTTTTCCCCTAAATCTGATCAAAAAAAAAAAAACGTATTGCTAGCTGCATTGTAAAGGTGTCTCCTGAATAAAACCGATTCACCAATGGCGTGGAAGAGATGGATAAAAGGAGGATATGGATTTCGCAAATTCATGAAGCATCACCGAAAACACCATTGTCATTTATGGCACTTTGCGGCCAATAGCTAACGCGTATTCACGCACGCGCCTCTCGCCCCCTCCTCGAGCCGCGTCCTCGCCGTGAACGCGCGTGGTACCCCCCCGGTCGCTAGGAGGAGGAGGAGGAGGATGTGGCGCGCGGAGGGGAAATGGCTGCCGAAAACAAGCCGGAAGGTAAGAGAGAAATAACAAGATAATTATTTTTCATTTCGCAGCTTTATCCGCGTTAAGCTCCAGATGATGAAGGTCAGGATAGGGATGCGCGGCGGAGAAAGTCAGTGACATTTTCGCACAGCTTGTGTTTGTCACGAAATGGCAAAAAAGCTGAAGCGCTGATGGGATTAGCCATCTCTGAGACGGCTATTAAAATAACGGGAACGGAGTTAGGTAATCACGGGTTACGTTCATTACGCGACTCGTTTAATCTCAAAGCACAGAGATTTTTCAAAGTCACACGCATCCAAGTCAAGCCGAACCACAGCCTTCGCTAGATGAAGAGAAACATGTTTTTTCTTGTAACTGAGACGAGCACATGAGCGCAGCAGACGAAATGAACGCGTGAAATGACTCGCGTTTGGTTTCGAGTGGGATTCCACCACACCACATCCACGTTCCCCGTGGGCTGACAAACAAGCGAGCTCCGTGAAGTCAAACGCGGTCAACTACTTCATATTTCGTTCGTATTGAACAGGACGACGCTTTTAACTCCGAAAGCGATAAATGCAGATTTATGGTGGTGATGCTCTAAAACGTGATTGATTTCTTTCCACCCCCACCAGAACCCCCCTTACAGTGACTGAACCCACCGACAGCTGCTCTATATGCTTTAGTCTTGTGTGAAATATTTTCCTAGAGCTGTGACTGTTTGGCCGCTGCTGTTTTGAAGCTGTCAGCAGTTATTTTCTTAGATAACATATTTTAAAAACTGGATTGGAAAGGACGCTGGGAAAACTGAAGCGGAATTTTAATGAGGCAGCAAAATGAAAGGTAAGTCTCTCCTCTTTGCTAAAGCGATGCTCGGCAACTAAAATCAAGTTCATGCTCTCGCTATTCGCTAGAATTTGATTAAATTTTTCTATTTATATGGTCGTAATTTAAAGTTCACTTTCTTTACATCAACGGAGTGCGCCATGTAGATCATTCTTTGAGGATGCTTTTGATGTTTACCTTATTAATGAAATTCCTTCAGACTAAAATAGATGTATTTTTAAAAATGTAATATAACGAATTTGACGGAAGACGTAAATAATTCAGATCACATTTAAGATTCACAAGACGCTCCCTTGCCTTCAAAATAACTCATATTCTGTTTACTTTGATCCATTTTGGAAAACGTAATGTTTATAGGGACCAGATGAATTGTCAGACATTTGTTTGATTCTATAGCATCCTGGGTAGAAAATGCTGATTGTTCATTAATGTTGGAAAATTAGGTCTTGAATAGCTTAAAATAACCACCATGAGTTTGTCAACATTTAATTATTTATTCAACTATTTATTTTTCTTCTAAATCAAGGCAGTCAAGGAAGTTTTTGTCTAAAACAGCCACAGGGTGGTGCTATTGAGCTGTACAAATCAATACCCCCCTTCAAACCCCCCTAACACACACACTTACACACATTGGAACTAAGAGTGATAACTAAGCTTGCCTATTGAAGAATTCCATCAAAGTGACGAAGTTGCCCTCTTTGATTTGGGAGAGCTCACGGAGTGCCTGTGTGGGACAGTGGCGTGTGCACGTGTGAACTATAGAATTGTCTTCTAGAAAAATATTAATTACACACTACTTCGGATCTATAGGCTTTAGCACGGTTGTGTTTCCCAGTTGTTGGTGGATATCTTCATTTTTGCTATTGCTGAGAGATGACCTGGCCAGAAAAAGGTATTGCCTTTCTTTGTTTCATCATGCATATTTATCTACGCAAGTCTAGTCAGGCAACGCTTTGCTCTTGCTCTACTTCTTAGAAAGAAAAATGTGTCATAATGGAATGTAAGTTTGGGGACAGAAGGATTCTAGGCTATTTTTACCCATTTGAGCTGCCACAGAACAGGAGAATACGTTGCCTCTTTTGACCTGTACGGCCTAAAACTGTGTCACGCATTTGTATCTGACAGTCTTTGCTCTTGCCAGCTTCCTGGATCACTTCTATTCTCTTCCTCCACACAGGAAGCGTATCCTCCGGTGGTTCTTGCCAACACAATGATGGCAGCTTATATACAAGGATGTGCACCTCTCACTACCCCATCAGCTTTTAGATGTTTTGAAAGTCATGTTGTGGAATATTTCTTTGGGTAGAAAGTGCATGAGCGTCTCTTTCTCCATGGTTATTTTGTATTTTACTCACATACATGCTTTAACTCACATATATTGTGCCAAGAACCTCAGGCTGTTTAAGCTCAATTGTTTGGTTGCTCATCAAATGTGATCAAGGCTGTTTCGAAGAGACACTCACTTAATGAAGACACTCCGACATGGACACTAAGTGGCAGAAGTTCTGCTGCCCAGTTGTAGCAGGCTTACAGCATGATTAGCTGCTGGAGGGATATGCGTCTCAGCCATGTCTAGTCACATTAGTGGTTTAACAGCAGCAAGTTTTGGGCTTAAGTAACTCTTTGGTAATCCATTGATTAGGCCACATGTTGATTTTCAAATTAAATGGGCCATTGGTTCTTATTACGCAGGAGCAGAAGTTGCTTGTGAGCCTTGAATCCCTGGACATGTCGCAATGTGAGAATAAAAGGAGATCCAGTTCAGACAGCCCTCTTCATGGACCCCATTTCAGCCTGATTCTTTTGCTTTGTTGAGTCAAGAAAAGCTTTGGGAGCCAACTGGGACAGAACCAGAATGTCAAAGTGAGTTAATTGGGAGGAATCCTGGTCTGCCGATCCTCTCCTTCCCCACCTCTCGTCTTCCCTAGTGTCCAGCGTAGCCTTTTTTACTCCACCAGTGGAAATCCCCAGATGAACTACGCCCACTTATTAAGGCAGCCACATTGCACATCATCCAGTTTCTTTAGAATATGTGTAGATGTGCTCCCCCCCCCCTTTTAGGCCTATGTGTGTTCAGTTCATGAGTGTTGTGGTATCACATGAATTTGCAGATTTTTATTTCATGCTGCTGCATATTTTCTGGGACAAGAGTCACTAGACAAGAAGCAGTCAGCCTCGGGAGACCCCGGGAGAATCATCCCTTGGCTTACTTCAATGGAAGGATGACAGTGCATTAATTTGCCTCCTTGTCACAAACGCAGTATCCCATATCTTCAGTGTTTTATCAGCCAAGGTTTTATTTAAAAAAATAAAAAAAACATCCTAGCAATTAAGAGAGAAGTTGCTGCCGTACAGATCTTTTAAATTGGCTAAGATAAAATTTAATTGAGATCCTGCAAATAATGAGAGGTTTTGTTCTTGTTGCAGAGATGCAAACAGTTGACTGAACTGCTCAACCAAAGAAGAGAGCAGAGAGAGATTCTGGTCTCCTGGGATACCCAGACACATAAGTGAGGTTATCGTAGAATCGGCCTCCTGTCTTGGAAGAGTTTGAACTCTTTGCTTGTGTAACATCTCTCGCTATCAAAACAGTTGGCGGTAATTGTGCCAAGCACTAGCGTGACGGGCGTCTGGTGAAGCTTCACTTGGCGGAGGCTTATGTCACTCTTCATAAGAATCATGCCTCATCTGTGCATGCCAGCGCACATTTGTTTTACTCGTTTTAGGGAGTAAGTCACGACTAAGCCAGTGCAGCATAGCTTCCTTTTAGGTCCAGCTGGCCTTCTTGTTTATGAAGACCTGTGACAAAATCACACCTAGATTGTAAAGGGGTTGTTTAATCCCATCTCTCACTTTCAGTGTTTTTGGCTTTGGTACTCACACTTAGGGTTGGGAATCGAAAATTGATTCCGATTCCAGAATCGGATACTTAAGGTCAGGAATCGGATACTTGTTGTCAAATTAAAATTTCGATTCCACCTATCGATTTCTATTTTTTATTTAATTTTTTTCTTCATCTGTGTAGTGCCGAAATTTGCACCCTGCCAGATTATGCACCCCTCAGTATTGGTAGGTTTAGGAGTAGGTGTGGGGGAGGGGTTGTCGATTACATTGTTACGCCAGTAGGTGGCGAAAAGGGGCTGTTAAAATGTATTTGTCTCTGTCAATCACTTCAGAATCATACAAGAGATTCGTTCAAGAATGATGATTTATCCAGTAATGAAACAAGTACATCTTGAGTGAGTCATTGAACCATTTAACTATTTTTTATTTAAATTTTTTCTTCATCTGTGTAGTGCCGAAATTTGCACCCTGCCAGATTATGCACCCCTCAGTATTGGTAGGTTTAGGAGTAGGTGTGGGGGAGGGGTTGTCGATTACATTGTTACGCCAGTAGGTGGCGAAAAGGGGCTGTTAAAATGTATTTGTCTCTGTCAATCACTTCAGAATCATACAAGAGATTCGTTCAAGAATGATGATTTATCCAGTAATGAAACAAGTACATCTTGAGTGAGTCATTGAACCATTTATTCATAAATTACATGTGATTTTGTTTAGTTGTCTGATGATTTTTTTTTCTTCAAAATCATGAGAACCACAACTTTCATTGGGGAAAAAAAGAAAAAAACCCCCCTCAATTTATCCAGAATCATGCAGTTCTATTTTGCACACAAACGGCTCTTAAAGAGTCCAGTTTTTATGTAGCCTGTTGATTTTTGTTCATGGTATTCAGCTCCAATAAATGGTTTGCAAAAAAGAGACACCGGATAAATATCATTATTTAATCACACTGGAATCAAAACTGGGAATCGAAAAGAATCGGAATCGGAATTGATAACATTCAAACGATTTGTCTCTGTCAATCACTTCAGAATCATACAAGAGATTCGTTCAAGAATGATGATTTATCCAGTAATGAAACAAGTACATCTTGAGTGAGTCATTGAACCATTTATTCATAAATTACATGTGATTTTGTTTAGTTGTCTGATGATTTTTTTTTTCTTCAAAATCATGAGAACCACAACTTTCATTGGGGAAAAAAAGAAAAAAAAAACCCTCAATTTATCCAGAATCATGCAGTTCTATTTTGCACACAAACAGCTCTTAAAGAGTCCAGTTTTTATGTAGCCTGTTGATTTTTGTTCATGGTATTCAGCTCCAATAAATGGTTTGCAAAAAAG